CCCTTGATGCCTTTCACACTAGCGGGAAAAGTAGATAGTTTTGAAGTGGATTTAAATTTGTCGTCTTTCTTATGTGTGGAACATTTGTACTTCGGAAGATGGGGTTCTCAATATTAATAGACAGTATCTGGCTGGAAACCGAATGCGCTCGCTAGCTCAATCTCTGGTTTCACTTGGCAGCTCAGCCCCGAATCTACTTTGCCTTGTTGCGGGCTTATCAGCAGAAAACTGAACCCTAGACACTACCAGATGTCTTTAGGCTTAGACTTAGGCTTAGATCAGAGCTAGTCCCCTGGCAAAAGCTAGGTTCTCAAACTGGCTGTAAGCTAGGTTCTTGATTACGCTTTTGCTTTAGCTTTGAACCTCAAGACAAAACCTGATTTTAGCAATAGTCAAAGTCTTGAAAGTTCAGATGCAAACTTTGTACCCTTAAAAACTGGTTCCGAACTCGGTAAAAACTTGTAAAGCCAACTGATAACATCCTGTCCACTGGTCCCTTTCGGCCCGCGTGGAGTCCCTGAATGACCAGAAGGTCCGAATTTCGGGTACCCAATCCCGGTCCACGTCTTGCTCGGGCTCTCGGTCGGTTTCCAAAGATTTTTGCCCTGGAAACTTTCAGCTCCACTACCTGAGTATCCCCCTCAGTCCCCAGTTCCAATCATTCCACGTTCTCCTTGGCACCGCGAGGCACTCCCGGTGGGCTGCCCAAGCAAATCGTATGTTACCGAAAAACTGGTGGAGAGTCCAACTCGATATCCTCTCCATCAATTCCCTGGCTGGGAAAGTTGGATAGGGCTTGATTTCCCAAGTTTTTGTGTTCACTGAAAGTCGCAGACATTTCCTGCAGCTTTCAGACATTTCCAGGGCCCCTATTTGACTCCTTTTTTTAATGTTTATAAATACTTTAAAAAGGAAGTTAAAAAAATTGTTTTACTGGTATAGAAAGGGTTACAAAAATGGTTTTACAGCAGGGACATGGATCTGGAACAATTGGCACTGGCACTGAGCACACTAACCACTACACCATTCAGTCACTGGACGGAGTGGAGTAATTCGGTACCGCTATTGCGGCAAAGCGCTACCGCGTCCTTTAAAAATTCAAACTTCAAAAGCTCTTAAAAACATTAAAATTACCTTTTAAGTTCCTCCTTTTCAAGTTCCTTTTAAGTTTTTCTTTATCTAAAAACTATGTAGGGGGTAACATTTCCTGTTTTCCTGGCAAGAATCCTGCATCCTTATCAGTGCCAGGTCCTCCCTCTCTCCCTGCCATTCCTACTTGACAAGGGAGGTGCCGGGCATTCTGGAATATATTGTTTATTAAGGAGACCTGTAGAGGATAAATTAGATATTTGATACATAAAAGCTTTATTAAGATTCAGCGAAACAGAGCAGAGCTAAAACTCTGGTCAATTCTGGTACCCATTCACCCCCTTTCAGGTACTCAAAACCATTGAAAAGTAGAAAATATTGTATGCGACGTGCAATATCGAGTATGTTTTGGTGAAAATCAAAAAAACTGAATCTTTTAAAAAATTCTAGTGTGATATCCAGATAGAGAGCAAAACGCAATTAAAATAAAATAGCGCTCCCACCCTTTTCGGAACCATCACGAACTGCGCCCCCGCAGCCCCTGCAGTCCAACGACAGCGCCATAGGAAGGGCTCCTCAACATGTTAAAACCCAAAGTTGAAAACAAAAAAATTCGTAAGCTATCAAAATCTTTTCTCTCAAGATCTATTCATTGCTAATATCAACTTTTCAAGTAGTTCAACCTGGACTTGGGTTTCGGATTGACCCTTTGATTGACGAAAATATTAACAATTCACCCTCAAAAATCTCAAAACTTTTTGCAAAAATCTGCTTTCCGATTTTTTTGCCTTCATCCCACGCAGCAGGCATAACTGAATAACTTACTGAAATGTTTTGTGGGTAGTTTGAGGTGTTTCTACGGTAGTTTGAGCCTTTGTTTAGGATTGAGGCTATGCACTTGTATCATTGACTTGGTGACAATCTCTGCAAATTAATTGAGCCTTTATCCCTCGAGAACTCACGACTGCATCAGATGCAACACCCGTGTTCATTTCTTGCTTCCCCATCCGGATTCTGACCGTAATCCCCTCTTCTCCTCGCAACGCCACCCCAATCCACGGCATTGGTGTGGATCTCCCATTGATTTGGTCCTGCAAAAAAGACTAAAGTACAGACTCTTAGAAAGATAAACCTGAAGTAACCTATTCACCTATTTAAAGTAAAAGAAATCAAGTTTTTTATGCCTGGCGTCATTCGAAAGCTCTTCAAAACGTCTTCTTTCTATTGTACAAGAAAAAGAGACCCAGGCCTGATTGGTTTGATGATACCATAAAACTTGCAATAATGGATATACAAAGCTAGTCAACAAGATATCTCTTAAAACAAAGCAAGTGGTCTTTAAAGGTCTTTCAAAGCGAAATCCTTTTCGAACTACTGATTTTAAAAGGTCCTGATTCCGGTTAAGAGCCAATTTCGCTGACCCATTCTCGCCACCTTAACACTTCCGCTCTTTCCTCAACATCCCGTCTAGTTAGTGCAGCGTTTTGGTGCAGCGCGAAATCGAGAAATAAATAGCGAAAAGCGTGCACAGAACGGAAGTGATCACCGATTATCGCAGGCCAACGACCGAAACGGATCGTGCAATCTAAAAACTGATGTAAATTCTTAAAGGAACTGTCACTGAAAATAAAAAATTCGAAGCGGAATACGATTTTTTTATAAAATAAATATTCATATATACAAATAAATTGTTCTAATTCGTTCTAAAAAATGATCGGGTAATCAGGCTGGAATTGAGCTTGGAAAATACTGTGATTGGATTCCATTTCTCTCTTGTGGAACGCACCCCCACCCCAACACGTCACTACAAAAAAACGCTTTTAAAGCGGAAAATTTTCATCCACTTTTTTGCTCTGTAGCTTAGCTTGGAAAGAAAGAAAGGAAAGCTTTTTTGAGTTCTGAAAAACTCCGATTGGAACCCAGTGAATGGATCCAGCCGGGAGTAGAAAGCAATAAAGTGACCAAAGAATAATGGAAAGACTTTTGGGTAGTGATAGAGAATAGATGAAATTTGTTGGTAGTAATTTTCCAAGGTATTTCGTCATATCAGTTACACACATGAAATTTGTTAGAGATTTCTTTTAAAGAAAATTCTTGCTCTTCAGCTTAAATCTCAAGCCATATACTCCAAAAAAATAGATAGATTCTGGAAAAAGCTTAAAAAGCATTAAATCAAATTTGCTTTAATCAGCCAAATTCTCTCTATTTTAAGTATTTGATTTTGGATCTTAAATGAGACCCATTGCCTATTCATTAACCAAATAAAAACTTGCTCAAAAGGCTCGTCACTTAAAAGTGACCGGGAGTCCTTCAGCCGAAGAAATCTCACTCTGAAATCCAGCAATCAGCAATCAGCAATCAGCAAACAGCAATCAGCAATCAGCAAGCAGCAATCAGCAATCAGCAACCAGCAATCAGCAATCAGCAATCAGAAATCAGAAATCAACCAATCAGCAATCAGCGAATCAGAAATCAGAAATCAGCAATCAGCAATCAGCAAATAGCAATCAGCAATCAGAAATCAGTAATCAGCAATTAGCAATCAGCAATCAGCAATCAGCAATCAGCAAACATAAACAGCAATCAGGGAAATCAGCAAACAGCAATCCGGGCAATCAGAAATCAGCAATCAGCAAGCAGCAATCAGCAATCAGCACAGCGCCTCAGCAAACAGCAATCCGAAATCCAGGAAATCAGAAATCAGCAATCAGAAATCAGCAATCAGCAAACAGCAATCAACTGCAGAAATCAACTGCAGAAATCTCAATCTTACTCCTAAAGCCCACTTTGTTTTTTCGTCAAAAACTTATCAAAAAAGTTTATCAAAAATCTGGGAAGGCTTTGTTTTTGACAAAAAATCTTTGTTTTTAGAGAAATCATCGTGCAAACTTTTTCCAAGAACTTTCTTTCAATCTAATATTTTAAAATATTTGTATTAAACATTAAAACGTTTATATTTTATCCCATAAAATTTGTTGCTTTTTTTTAAATTTTTTTCTCCTTTAAGCGCTAATTTTATTTTCATTTTCTTACATTTTCAGAAATTTGCTATATTTAGATATCAAAAATATACGAATTTAAAAATAATATAATAGGATTTAAAATTATAATATAATAGATTTAAAAATTATAATATAATAGATTTAAAATTATAATATAGTAGCTTGCAAAATGAAATTGAGAAATCTAGAGAGATCTCGAGAGAATCTCGCAATGAGAGAAATGAGGTCGGCGCTGATATGTAAATTTTGGGTGATTGACTTGCGAGATTGACCCGATTTTCACTTCTCTTTTTCTTTCTTTTCTTCATGATGATAGTGGAATTTGATTTGTTTTGTGTTTTCGAAAATAGATAATTGAAAAGGTACTATTTTCTTTCAGAATTTTTCTTATTCACTTAATTTCCTGATCGTTTTGATCTCTGGTTTCAACTTGACAGTCAGCCCTGGACCTGTCGAGCTCTAGATAGGCTTATCAAGAGAAAAATGAACTCTAGACATTGCCAGAGGTCTTCAAGCCAGGCCTAGGCTTAGATCAATCAGGTCAAATCCGGCAAAGCTAGGTTCTGGATTAGGCTTTAGCTTTAGCTTGACTTCAAGACAAAAACCCGATTTTAGCAATGGTCAAAGTGTTGAAAGTCTAGACAAACTTTGCCAAACCAATTGTTGTGTCCCTAATGGTCTCTGGTTTCACTTGACAGTCCAGCCGTGGATCTGACGAGCCCTACACATGCGTATCAAAGAAAAATCAACCCTAGACATTACCAGTTGTTTTGCGCTTAGGTTTAGGCTTGGGCCCCAGGCTTAGATCAGATCAGGTCAACCAATTACTTAATTTTGATACGCATTTTCGCTTCACCGTTTGATTCTTCATCGAATTGGGTCAACATTTAGTGAATTCGAGAAAATCTGAAGGAAAGATTACCGTAGTTTACTCAAATTATCTATTTTTAAAGTCTTGAACAAATAAACAACAAAATTTATTGAGAAATAAAAGTAAAAATCAGAAAGAAATCGGAAGAAATCAGAAGAAATTGAAGAAATATTGAAGAAATCACAGGAGTTTTTACGAAAATTTTCTTTTAGCAAAAGAATTTCTGAAAGAAATACAGTCATCGGAATTAGATACAAAGAAAAATGGGAAATCGAAGAATTACAATCATCATTATCACAAGTATGGGCATAAACCGGTTGAGCCCATGTTTGCGCAAAGAGTCACCGAAGCACCACAGGGAACAGAAGTGATATTATCGGAACACGCACGAGTGGTCCACGGTTCGGTGGCTGAATTTGGGGAATTTGTGATGAATTTGTGATGCATTTGTATTGTTTACTATAGTAACCAATGTTTAACTCAGTGCTACAGTGTTCTACAGCATAATAACTACCGTAACCCTTACCGTAACCCTTACCGTAACCAGCAGACCCGTAGCCAGGATTTCCGTGTTTTTTTGGGAAAATCCTTTCTTCGTCCAGAAGCGCCCAATCAATTTACGCCCAAAGAAGAAAATTTAGCAGAATCTTCATCTGAGATAGAGGGGATCTAGAGTGACATCCAGGATGGAGGATTATGGATAAAGAATGGTTTAAGTACCTCAGGGTCCCCTAAAATCTATTGGACTCCTTAAGACTCCACCCCCACGCAAGTCAATTTTGATAGTTTTCTCTACGAAATTAGAAATGCTACCCAGCAATAAATTCACTCAAAAAAAAGCAAAAGTAAAGGTTTTCGACCGCTTAGCGCTTTGCAAAATGTTAATTGGCTGATTGTCGACGTTTTCTGAAGCGTGGAGAATGGAAGGAAATGAAATTAAAATTGAAATTGACAACTATCGTGGCCACTTCTCGACTATCGTGGCCAATTCCCTCGACTCTCGTTTTCTTTTCCCTCAAATCTATCACTTTTTGTTCCATTTTTAAACAAAAATTCGTAAAAACAAGATAAGATTACGTTTTTACATAGAAAACCACAAATCTCACTAAAAACGAAAAAAACAATAATTTAAAGGATTGAGAACTGAAAAAAAGGATAAAATGCTGCATTTACCTCTCTAATTATTGCAATTGTCGGTTTCACAGCGAGCACACGAGCCGCTTCCCTGCGAGAATTTGCAAATCGCTGGCCCCGCCATGCAGCCCATATTCTTGTTGGCACAAGTGCGCAAAACGAACGGAGCTAAAGAGGGGAAATTGGGGGCTTTCTTTGGGAAAAACATTCAAATAAACATGCTGGGAAAACTTAAATTCGAGTGAAAATGAAAACGAGAAATTCTCGTAACTCACATTTCCCGCCTTCGCACACGAATTTCTGGCACACATATTTGTCATCACTTTCGCCGAGTCCACAAATCCTTGACTGATAGTTCCCCTTGGAGCCGGAGTAGCATCGTTTTGCGCATTCTAAAAAGGAGAATATTATGGAAAAGCTGATCTGATCTGTGGCAAAAAAAGCCGATTTTCATCACTTTTCAATCATTTTTTTTCTAAGCACTGGTTAATTCCAGAGATCTGTGTTATATATCAAAAGATTGCCCATTTTCTCTACTTTAATTTGATACCTCAGAACGCTAAAACAAACGTACTGGTGTCGAGATATGAGCACTTGTTTGAGAGTAGACTTAGACTACGGGGGGACAAAACTATAGAGGCCTATTAGAGTACTATATAAAGTACTATTAGCTATTAGCTATTACTACTAGCTTTACCATTAGCTAGAGTACTATTAGCAAAAAAATTTTGGAGCAAAAAGCAAAAGAATTGGTGGCGAGTGGAGGCGAACCCGGGACCTCTCTTTTTCGTTCGTTTGAGAGACGCGCCCGTTAACCACTCGGTCAATAGATGGCGCAGCTAACTTGTCTCTAGCCCACAAAACCCCGGTTCGACTCCCGCCCGCGTCGGTAGACAGACAGACTGATAGACAGACTGATAGACAGACTGATAGACAGACTGACTGACTAACAGACTGACAAACTGACAGACTGACAAACTGAAAGACAGGCAGACAGACTGACTAACTGACAGCCAGGCTGACAGACAGACAGACAGACAGAAGGCTGACAGACAGACAAACACAGCTCTTTTATATAGTAGATTTACGGTAGTTTTCCTGAACCAGTGCTGATATCTGACCTCCAGATCTGGTTTTTGGCTTGGTCTGGCCTTCGGATCTTGGCTTGGCTTTCAGCAATTCCAGACCAAAACTGGAAATGCGCTGACCAAAAGCTTGGCTTGCTTTGTTATTACTTATAATTGATCAAAAGCTTTGTTCATACATACAATTTGCTTAAAACTAGTCTATGCTTAATGGTCAATTTGCTTAAAATTAGTCAGTCAAATTCTGGTCTTGTCTGATTTGATTGATAGAGGCAAAAAAGTCAAATTTCCAAGTCAAACCAAGCTAAACCAAACCAAATCAAGCCAGAGCCAAAGCCAAAGCCAAAGCCAAAGCCAAAGCCAAAGCCAAAGCCAAAGCCAAAGCCAAAAGCTAAAGCCAAAGCCAAAGCCAAAGCCAAAGTCAAAGCTAAAGCCAAGGTTTTAAGCTAAATGAAATAGTAAGCTTAAAATTGAATTGACTGTTGGCTTCAGTTTTGGTTTTAGCTGTTGATAGAGCATTTAGCTGTTGATAGAGCTTCTAGCTGTTGATAGAGCTTTTAGCTGTTGATATAATCCCGATCTCTTGAGTGAAAAAAGACAGAGATCTGCTTGTAAATAACAAATTCTCAATTCTAATAGTTAACAAACTACTTAAAATTACTTAAAACTACTTAAAACTATTTGAAACTATTTAAAACTACCTAAAACTACTTAAAACATAAATTATTCTTGTTTTTAACAGCAACGATTTACCGGTGATGAGTGGCATCGTGATGAGTACTAATAGCAATAAATATTGTGTAGATGACATTGAAAAGCTGAAGAAGAAAATGAAAAGCTGAATTTAGATTTTCAGAGCTATTCAAAAATTGATTACTATTTAAAGAAAAATGTAAGAAAAAGAAAAATCAAAAAAAGAAAAATGTAAGGAAAACAAAAATCAAAAAAGAAAAGGAAACGGAAATTTGTATGAGAGAATCTTTTCTGTAAATTTGCCAATCTTGCTAAAGAAAAATGCGTCAAAGGGACGGAAAATGAGAAATTTTTGACGATTTTTACGCTGCTTATTGATTTATGATTGAGAAAACGATGAAAAAAGAAAAAAAAAAGAGAAAAAGTCTTTTAAATGTAAGAAAATTGTTTTAGAAATGTTTTTAATTGAAAATGTAAATGTAATTATTGTAAAAACGATGAAATTATTGTAAAAAACGATGTAATTATTGTAAAAACGATGAAATTATTGTAAAAAATGATGAAATTATTGTAAAAAATAATAATACTTTATTCAAACGATAAAGTGAAAGAAATCATAGAGAAATGCACAGTGATACTTAATCATACAATACATACTGAAATCAATAAGCCAATTACTTACGGCAAAGAGCCACTAGATCTAAAGCATCGATACGTTTCTTGAATATGAAAAGCGACTGAATTTCTCGTATGTCGTTTGGGAGCAAGTTCCATAATCTAGCGGCTCTAACGGGAAATGAATTTGATAAAGAGGCATTGGAAGCAAAGGGAATTTGCAAAAGGAATGAGCCACTTCTGGGCCCTGACCGCGGTTTAAATTTGAAAAAGTCTATAAACAAAAATGATGAAATTATTGTAAAAAACGATGTAATTATTGTAAAAAACGATGTAATTATTGTAAAAAATGATGTAATTATTGTAAAATCGATGTAATTATTGTAAAAACGATGTAGTTATTGTAAAAAATGATGTAATTATTGTAAAAACGATGTAATTATTGTAAAAACGATGTAGTTATTGTAAGAAATGATGAAATTATTGTAAAATCGATGTAATTATTGTAAAATCGATGTAATTATTGTTTACAAAGTTTCCTGGACTAAGCAATCCAATTCAAACAGTTTCAAAAGCTTTGAATCACTTTCTTTCAATTATTTTTCAGAACTTTAACCCAATCAAAGCTTAAAGCGTGCTCGTAAAAGCCGAAAAGGACTTAAATGAACAGTGGAAATTGTTTGGAGACGAATGCAGACTGAAAGCTTCTTTCGAATTGGTTTATTCAATAAAATGAATAACACCAATCGATTCACCGACCTCGAAAACCCTTCGAATCTTAATTTCTAGCTCTTTATCTTCTTCAACAAAGCAAAAATCTCTTTAGGATGCTTTGTGCGCCCTCGTAATCGCTCTTCATCTGCATCTGCATCGCAACGACTGAAAGCTTCTTTCGAATTGGTAATCGCTCTCCATCTGGCAACCCGCTATGGTATAAAGGTTTCCCTTTTGGAAAGGGGAAACCTTTTTTATACAATTTGGTTTTAGTGAGAATCGACCTTGTTTTCCCCTTATTTAACAACAATCAAACGTAGAACCCAATGGTAAACGTCCTATAGAGCACCTCCTCTGATGACCGAGTCAACCTCATCTTTTGACTTGAGCCAGCCAGCCAGCTAGCCAGCCATTTGACTCAAGACTAAGTCCATATTATAGAGTCGGCCATAGGGATCTCGAATCCTCATTACTTTTTGCAGAATGCTTCGATGCATACAGTGAAATGCTCTGGAGAAATACTTCTTGAATTGAATTTGATTGTAGTGTAATTAGCTTTGTTTTGTTCTCTTTACAGGGTGCGCTAAAATTATGGTAACGCGCCCGTATTCTCTCATTTTTCACTTTTTCAACGCCTCAACGCTTCAACGCCTCAACGCTTCAACGCCTCAACGCTTCAACGCCTCAACGCCTCAACGCCTCAACGCCTCAACGCTTCAACGCCTCAACGCTTCAACGCTTCAACGCTTCAACGCTTCAACGCCTCAACGCCTCAACGCCTCAACGCCTCAACGCCTCAACGCCTCAACGCTTCAACGTACTTTTTACAGTAAACTGATGACTTTCCAAAAGTTATTCAGCTGTTCAATGGAAAATAGAGACAAGACAAGAAAGCTTCAATGATATTTGAAAATGGGATTAGAAATGTGAAGCCAATTGTTCTTCACCCTCAAAACGCGGAAAAGTTAAATAAAGTGAAAGAGTTTTGGCAATTGAGAAAAGATGTGAAAATGGTTTGTGTTTCGAGTAAACAGAGAATCACTTTTTCCCAATTTTCCCATTTTTCTTCTCAAATTCTCTTGAATTGTCATTTCCATCGAATAAACGATTTGACTGGCGACGATTTGACCGGAAAACGTTCGATTTTTTTATTCGAAAATCTCAGTTTTTCTTTCTTTTCCCATCTGGGGTCTTTTACGTTAACTTATAAAAGAAATTTGAACGGATTGAAGATCTGAAAGGGTGAAAGGATTGATCTCAAAGATTTGGGAGATGTTGATGATGATTTAGGAGATGATGTTCAAGTTTAGGAGATGATGCTCAAGTTTAGAGATGATGTTCAAGTTTAGAGATGATGCTCAAGTTTAGGAGATGATGCTCAAGTTTAGGAGATGATGTTCAAGTTTAGGAGATGATGCTCAAGTTTAGGAGATGATGTTCAAGTTTAGGAGATGATGCTCAAGTTTAGGAGATGATGCTCAAGTGGTGTGCTGTACTTGATCTCAAAGGTCGAACCTAGAAGTTGCTCAAGATTCTAGATGGTATTGTAATGGTGGTTTATGACTGGTTTAGCTCAAGTCTTACACTTGAATGGATCGAATAATGAGATGAAAAGTTTGGCTAGAGGAATGGAGTTGTTAAATTTGTCTAAAAATTTATGGCTAAACATGGCCAGAAACGATAGCGGATATAAGCGAACAAGAGCCTTGTAATGTTTAGGAAATAGCTCGTGAATTGGACTCTGGCTGTTCTCTGGCTCGCCCAGACTTCCGGGCAGCTTTGGTCTTCTGGCTTGGCTTCTGGTTTTGCATGGATAGCTGGCTTGCTTTCAGAATAACTGGCTACAGAACAGCTGTTAATAAAGAAGTGAAAGAATTGGCAGATTCCCGGAGACGGGATTGAACCCTCGACCTTGTGCTTTCCGGGCTCTTGCTCTAACCACTGAGCTCTCCGATACGATACCGGATTGTAGCAAGTTTCGTTTTTCAGAAGGGGTATTTTCTTTACTTGTCAATAGAAAGAGGGAAAGAAGATGCAAAATAATTAAAGAAGATTAACAAAACAATAACTTTTCGACATATTTTAGACATTTCTGTAATATAAAAAAAGAGAAAGTGTACAACTTATTAGTTCAAAGAACAAGAGCGGATTGTAGCAAGTTGCGTCTTCCAGAAGGAGTATTTTCTTCGCCCTTTCCCCCATTTCCCTTTTCCTTTTCATATCCCGAGTGTATCCAATATCAAATGACCACCCCAAATTCTCGGCCTTCTTTTCCTTTTTTTTCCTTCATTTCCACCTCACCTCAATTGCGTGGCTGTGCTTTGAGAGAATGACCAAAAGAGGCTGATTTGAGAAGGAAAAGAGCAGGATTTTGACGGAAACTAGACCTTTTTTGGCTCTGGACTTGGCTCTGGACTTGGCTCTGGACTTGGCTCTGGTCTTGGCTCTGGACTTAGCTCTGGACTTTATCCTAGTCCTAACTAGACCTGGCCTGTCTCTGGCTCTGACCTGATTCTAGCCTAGACTCTGATTAGCCTAGATTTGATCTAGACTAGACTAGTTTCCTATGCGCAAAGAATAAGTCAACCTTCTTGAAAAAAGCAAAAGAAAAAGCCAAAGCCGGGGTCGAACCTCCGAGGTCCGACCCTGGAAACGAAAGCGTTACCACTCGGCCACGGTTGCACCTAGCTTAGCCCGCAAGGAGGCCGTTAAACCCCAAAGGCCACTAGCCACATTTTTCGAGTCCAAACAAAACTTTAAACACTTATAACTTCTGACAGATTTTCATTTAGCCAAAACAGAATATATATTCGGAATCAGCATCAAATCCTTAGTCAAATTGTATAAGTTGCAAAGTATTAGATCAGCCAGTTGACCCTCTCTTGTAAGCTTTTTGATAATTGAAAAAGACGAAGTTATAGAGACGAAGTTCACGCATCAAATCATCATTTTGTCTTTATTTCAAACAACTGTGTTCCCCATTCTCTTATCAAAAATGATTTATTGTTTATATCGAAAATAAACACCAGCGAATTCCGGAAATATTGCACGTTTTGATTGAAAAGATAGCGATTATTGGGAAAATAGTAAAATCCTTGAAGAAATCCGATCCTTTCTATTCTCAACTTGGCTCATTAGACATTCGTACAACTGGGTAAACAATAAGAATTGCAACTTGGAGATTATAGTAGTTAATAATAGATTGCGCATTTGCTCATGAGCAATAGATTGCTCATGCTTTGTACACAAGAAAATAGAAAAGCAACTTTTCTTGGCCATTAAAGTCTATTTTATACTCGAAACGCATCTTTCCTAATTCATTATTTATTTAGTGAAGATAATCAAATGTGACCTCCAGGATGGACAATTATCGATTTAGACAAGTCCGAGCATCCCCAGAATCCCCTAAAATCTATTGGACTCCTTAAGACTCCACCCCCACTTCATTAGTATACCAGTAAGATTGAGATATTTAGTTAAGATAATAAATTGTGACCTCCAGGATGGACAATTATCGATTTAGACAAGTCCGAGCATCCCCAGAATCCCCTAAAATCTATTGAACTCCTTAAGACTCCACCCCCACTTCATTAATATACCAGTAAAGCTAGGATATTTAGTTAACATAATAAATTGTGACCTCCAGGATGGACAATTATCGATTTAGACAAGTCCGAGCATCCCCAGAATCCCCTAAAATCTATTGAACTCCTTAAGACTCCACCCCCACTTCATTAGTATACCAGTAAGAGTAAGATATTCAGTTAAGATAATCAAATGTGACCTCCAGGATGGACAATTATCGATTTAGACAAGTCTGAGCACCTCCAGAGCCGCCTTAAACCTATCGGACTCTTTATGGACTCCACCCACACTCCACTAATATACCAGTAAGACTAAAACATTCAGTTAAGATAATAAATTGTGACCTCCAGGATGGACGATTATCGATTTAGACAAGTCCGAGCAGTTAAATTCGATTTAAAAAAGTCCGAGCATCACGATTTTTTTTTGCGCCTCTGCTCAACTTTGCCTCCCTCTAGCTCGCTCCACAAGCCTTAAATCAGATTTTTATCTGACTTGCCTTACGTAAACCGACACGGAGAATCGATTGGCGGTAATTAGAAGTTCCCTGGATAACGGTTAAGGTCTAAAACCGGCTAAGGTTTAAAAACTCTGCCCCTCCTAAATTCTCTCACAAAAATGCAAATTTTTCCCAGTGGTTTTCATTTAGAAAAAATTCTATTGTAGGCATGATGTAGTCGGAAGATTTTGCTAAATTTTCTTCTTTGAATGTAAATTGATTGAACGCTTCTGGACGAAGCTCTAGCGATTTTCCCAAAAACGCCGAAATCCTGGTTACGGGTCTGGTAACCAGCACTACCGTATTCACTTCCTCATGATAAGAAATGCACCAGGAAATGCGTGTTTCAAAATTCAGTGTTAAAAAACGGCTAAATAAGATAAATGAAAAGAGTTTTGTGAGAAAAGATTTGACAAAAATCGATGGCACTTCCCCGAGCAATCAACTGGAGCAGTGAAGCGTAAAAAAAGCAAAAACTAACTTTTTTTTTTACAATTTTTCCTAGAATATCACAGATTTTCTCAAAATAAGCAAATTAAAGCAAATTTCCATTGAAATTGTCTCTTTTTTTGACTCCAATAGAAATCCTAGCTTAAACAGAACATCGAGAAATAGAAATCCTAGCTTTTCTTCCAGAATCCAGAAACGCCCAATCAATTTACACCCAAAGAAGAAAATTGAGCAAAATCTTAACTGAGATAGAGAGGGGATCTAGAGTGACATCCAGGATGGAGGATTATGGATAAAGTATGATTTGGGTACCCTCAGGGTCCCCTAAAGTCTATTGGACTCCTTAAGACTTCACCCCCACTTCACTAATATACCAGTAAGACTAAGATATTTAGTTCGGATAATAAATTGTGACCTCCAGGATGAACGATTATCGATTTAGACAAGTCCGAGCACCTCCAGGGTCCCCTAAAATCCATCGGACTCTTTATGGACTCCACCCCCACTTCACTAATATACCAGTAAGAGTCAGATATTCAGTTAAGGGAACCAAATGTGACCTCCAGGACGAACGATTATCGATTTAGACAAATCTGAGCACCTCCAGAGCCGCCTTAAACCTATCGGACTCTTTATGGACTCCACCCACACTCCACTAATATACCAGTAAGACTAAAATATTCAGTTAAGATAATCAAATGTCACCTCCAGGATGAACGATTATCGATTTAGACAAGTCTGAGCACCTCCAGGATCCCCTAAAATCTATTGGACTTCTTAAGACTCCACCCCCACTTCACTAATATACCAGTAAGATTAAGATATTCAGCTAAGGGAACCAAATGTGACCTCCAGGACGAACGATTATCGATTTAGACAAATCTGAGCACCTCCAGAGCCGCCTTAAACCTATCGAACTCTTTATGGACTCCCTTCCCACTTCAAAAAAGCAAAAACTAAATCTTTTTCTACAATTTTTCCTAGAATATTACAGATTTTCTCAAAAGCAGCAATTTAAAGCAAATTTTCATTGAAATTATCTCTTTTTTTATTTCAATAGAAATCCTAGCTTAAACAGAACATTGAGATCTTCTAGCCATTCAAAGCCAAATACCCAGTCTTGTGGGATAATCTGAAATGTGATATGCAATGTAAAATGAGATATTTCGTTGATCTTTGTAAGCGTACAATGCACTTTTAAATCATTTTCCAAAAAACAATTCTCTATAAAGCGCTTAGTATCTTTCCTCTTGATCACTTCCGTTTAGATAACGAGCTATAATCTAAAAACGAACTTGGAAAAGCTGAAAACTGAAGAAAATTTCTGAAAATGAAAACATTTTCTTTTATTCTTGAATTTGCTTTCTTTCTACAAATCTCAAATTTAATTATATGCCCAAAGGGAAGCGTTCAAATACCGAATGAGGATGTTTGTGTGTACGCGGTAACACGACGTTTGTTTTTGCAAAAAGGGATTTCATTTCATTTCATAAAAAAAGCAGCTAAAAAAGCTAAAAGTGGGCTTTTTTTAGCTGAAAATTCCCAAAGGTATAACCCATTTCCGAGTGAATTCCGTAGCTGCAATCCACTCTGATTTTGAAAAGCCTAAGTACTTTGTATCCATTTTTTAAGACCATATTTCGTTTTTTCCTCCCCTCAACCATCCACCAACCTTCTGCCCGCTCGCAAGCAAAAACCCTTAACTTCCACACGTCCACAGCGATTTCTGAACACTCTAATCAATCTTTTACAAGCTGTATCGCTAGACAAAGCTAACAACTGCAGCAAGATCCCCTACTATTAGGTACATGCATAAGAAATGCGGATTTCAACATAAGAAATGCGGATTTCATAAATTTCCAACGGTAGAAGCCTGATATCGATGAATGTTATCGATGAATGTTATAAACTATTTAAAAGTTGTAAATCTTCTCTACAAAATAGGCTAATACGTGTTTCAAATGATCGAATTGAAATTTCGATTGAAGAAATTTCGAGGGCGAAATGCGAGTGACCGAGAAAAAGAATCGAGTCACTTTAGGGACAAGTTTAGTGTGGTCAAAATAGAGTTAGCTCTCCAAAATTGAAGATTGAAGATCCGCTAAAAACATCCCAACATCGATTCCCTCGATTTTTCCTTTTTCTTATAAAAAGCCCTTCAACTCAACGCATTTAACTTCTACAGTTTTCCATTGATTTGAATTTTGCCTCCATCCTGGATGTCACTCTAGATCCCCTCTCTATCTCAGTTAAGAATGTGATTACAATCGACTCTCTACAACGGAATGGAAGGGATCAAAAAATTTTCCAAAATAGAGCGATCAGATTTAGAGCGACTAAATGTTTTTTTTTATGGTTTTCAGAGAGAATTTCAGCACAAAACTATGACGATGCGGTCGACCAATGCGCGAACTTGTACGGGGAATTGGCGAAAATCCAAAACGCATTCGAGAACTCGTTTATTTATCGAATTGTCGACCAAAGTTCGTTTCTATTCGAATTTCGATTTCTTATCTGGGATTAATGGCGTGACCAAGCCTTTCGATTGAATCATTTCTTTTGATTTGAATTTGAATTCAATTGAATCAAAAAATTCAGATAACCGGACATAGTTCCCGCAAAAATTAACTTCCTCTGGAAAGGACATATTTTTCTGGGCGCTAATGTAAAAATGTAGTTTTTCGTAACGAAAACTTCAGACTTGAACAGTGCTGCTCCGTACATCGGAGTTCGACGAAACGATGATAACACTTGGACTTATTCCGACGGACTACCACTAAAATACGAGAATTGGGCTCCGAGTGAGTAGAGTTTTTGGAGTTTTATCGATTTTCTTTGACTTTAAATGCACCAAATAACTCGGCCGATTGTGTTTCTATGGATGCGGACAGTGGGAAATGGATTTCGGTGGAGTGTCGAGCCCGACAATTCTTGTGCACGATAATTCCAGATGAAATGCTCGTGCCCGTTCCCTTTTCCGAACATAACGAAACTTCAGGCATTGAACGATTTCGGCGAATTCGAATTTGAATTTGAATAAAAAGATTTGCTTAAAATGCATTTTGAAGTCTCCAATGCGTTCCAAGCACAGCACTCTAAAGTGCCTCTAAAGCCTCTAAAGCACATACCTACAAGAGAATTCCTTTCTTTATCAGGTCCTAAAAATTTTGCATTTAAAATTATGACTCGACTTGCCAAAGATGTTTTGGAATGTTTTGAACTCGAAAAAATTCCAAAAATAGTTTTTCGATTACAGAAGATTACGTTCCACGTCTACAAAAGTCTGCAGAAGCACGAAAGCACTGCGTTGGCGATATAAAGCTAAGCAAATGTTTTCAAGAAATTCACAGCTAAATTCCTTCATTTAGACTCATTTTAGAATGCCGATTAACAAGGCAAAGTCTACAGTGCCCTCTTTCGAATGGGGATTGCCAAAAATTTTGTCGGTTGAAGATTTACGGATTGGATTGGGTTGAGCATTTGCCAGGATTGCCCAACAGCATTGAGCATTTGCCCATGGAGCTCGTTCAACGCTTCAAATGTGTCATTGTTTCCGAGCTTTTGGAACAAGGATGTTTGGTCAAGTAACTCTCGCGATTTGAACCCCCCTGTACTCGAGTTGAAGCATTCTTGAGCAGAAGATCTCGAAAAAGAATATCCAATCAACTGCACAACTTCTAGTTGCCTGGGACGAAGCCCAGGCTTGGGACGAAGCCCAGGCTTGGGACGAAGCCCAGGCTTGGGACGAAGCCCAGGCTTGGGACGAAGCCCAGGCTTGGGACGAAGCCCAGGCTTGGGACGAAGCCCAGGCTTGGGACGAAGCCCAGGCTTGGGACGAAGCCCAGGCTTGGGACGAAGCCCAGGCTTGGGACGAAGCCCAGGCTTGGGACGAAGCCCAGGCTTGGGACGAAGCCCAGGCTTGGGACGAAGCCCAGGCTTGGGACGAAGCCTAATAATTGTGCTAATAATTAGAAATTATCGAAAGAGAGTTCAAAAACTAGTACCTTTGTCAAAATCTTTTGAAAATCTCACTCGAGACCATAGCTAAATCAAAGTTTTCTAAATTTAACGACCAATATCGTCAATTAACTATCATAAAGCATCCTGCTTTGATGTAAAAAAGAGATTACTTCTAAATTTGGCAACAAGAGCCGCTGTAGAATATTTCTGTCACAAAATGTGCCTTTAAATAGACAAAGAGAGCTCATCAATCTCAATCATTTTCATCAGAAATCTTCCTCTTCTCGTTTTTGCTGATTGTGGCTCTTTTGACCGAGATGGTCAACGGTGAAATTGAGTTGAGCTTAAGCAGTTGCACTGATCAAACTTTTAAACGTGTCTAGTCTTAGAAAATAGTGAATTGCTTAATCTTTACATAACAATACCGGCTTCTGTGACTTCAAAATACATTTTCGATAGATCAAAATAGGCAATAGATTTTCCATTTTCGGTGAAATGTCGAAAAACGTGCTCTTTGCTCGAATTTCTGCAAAGCAGCAGCATTTTTAATTTGCGAACTTTCGAGTGGTCGGTTTTTGGCTAGTTTCCTGAAAAAAAAACAATTTCATTCCACTCTATTCCATGTAAATCAACATCCATCACTGCGGGAACATCGAAAGAAATCCAATATTGAAATCGGCTTCGACTTTTTTCATAGAAATTCCACAATGCGTGAACTTTGCGCTCAAAAGCGGCTCATAAATATTGTTCCCCACTGTTTTCGGTAGAGTCATTTTGTATCAGAAATGTTCCTGAAAATCACCATTTTGATCTTCATCTTTTTGACAGGTTTGTTTGATTTTTATTGGAAAGAGTTTATAAAGCTACAATATTTAAACACATCACATAGTTGATGAAAACTTTGAAAAGCCGAAAAGGCCACAGGGGCCGCAGAGCCGGGTTTTTAGCTGCTTTCAAAAGAACTCCATTATGTAAAGTCTTTGTAGTGAGCTTCGTCGACGCAATCGGCGATCTCTGGCCCGATCCGTGTATGCCACAAGGGCTTTGGCCTTGGGGATGTTGTACGACTTGTTCGAATGTCACAACTGGTTTGTTTGAGTGTTTGGGTTTTTGCGGAGAATCGTTGACTCAGTTTTTAGCAGCTAACTTTTGAGACACTGCACTTCCCAATTATAACTCCAAAGTGAGACCCATTCTAAATGTGCAAATTGTTAGGCAATGAAAAACACTTTCTGAACAGAATAAGAGCAATGTTCGCAAAAAGCAAAAACAAATGCTGCGGTCATATTGTCGTATTGTACAGGGTGTGCCATAACTGTCGCAACAAGATAAAGTTTTGATTTTAAGGCAGACAAAAAAAGACTGGATAACACTTATTGTACATTAACAATTATAAATCAACTATCAAATTCGAATCGGCCACCATTAGCATTTGAGCAGGCTCGCAGGCGTTTCTTGGAGACGTCAACGGTAGCGACCAAATAGGCTGCATCGAGCTCTTCCCATGCTTTCAACAGTGATTTCTTCAAGGTTTCGATGTTTTTGTGGGGCTTTAAACAAGCTTTGCCTTCTAGAACGGTAAATATCTTTTCTGTGAACAAGATATTGTGATGGTCGATTTCATTGAAGCGCATCAATAATTGACCTGCTCTCAATTTTCGCTTGTTTTTAGTGGCATTTGAAAGAAGTTGAGCCTTTTTTTTCTTGTAAGCAGTAAGTTTGAGCTTATTTTTGAGGATCCGAGGCAATGAGGTGCTTGAAATCGCCATCTTCTTTGCCATTTCCCTTGCCGACTGGTTTGACTTCTTCCGAATTCGGTCCCTCACTTGCTTGATGTTTTTCTTTGTGACGACAGTTGGGCGTCTACCGCTTCTTGGTGCATCAGCAATTGTTCCTGCAGCTTCGTAGCGTTGAATAGTGCGGGAAATGACACTTCTGTCAACTTTAAGACCCTTATGAATCTCCGGCGCTGAGACTCCTCGCTTGTGTAATTCGATGATCGATTATCGATGGGGGATTTCCAGCCATTCTAAAAAACAACACATTTTATATGAGAAAAAGTTTCAATTATATTCCAAATATAATAAAAACATTAAAAAACCAGAAATGAAGCTTAAATCAATGAGTTATTTTCCTTGAACGCGCGCGATACCATGTTGCGACAATTATTGCGCATCCTATATTCGTCAGAAAACACAAAAATCACAAATGATAGCGTCCTGGAGACCAGTCGAATTGGGCTCATTTAAGGGTCTGCAAAGTGGGCTGAGAAACTTTAATCGAGGACTTTTTGGTACAGAAATGTCGGCAAGAATTCTGGCTTCAATTCTCTATATGAAACTTTTAGGGTTTCTGAATTGAATTGCGGCGTTTTTTGAATTGATAATTTGCTGAGAAGGTGCACCGGTGATTTTGCGCCACCCTGTACATAGAATCTCTGGTTTTTGAGATTTCCATTCACCAACAAAAAGCACATCGATCAATTCTTTAGGCGTCTGGTCGAAATGGACCGACTACACGACGTGCTCGAAAACTTGCGGTCTAAAAGGAAGAAAAGTGCAGCGAAGAACGTGTGATTCGTTTTATTGGGGATGTCCGTGCACGTGGGTTCAAACGGCATTCTCTCGGCCCGGTGTCACCACTAACAGGGGAAGGGCACAAATAACGATGGGCTTTGGCACGAATCGCCGAATCAGATGAGCCTTGGCACGAATCGACCATGTTGATCACGAATCCGTTTTTAGTTTTTGCTCTCAAAGCCTTTAACGCCAGATCTTTGGGATACAAGTTTTTGGGTTCATGTTTGGGTTTTGAATCGATTCTATGGATGTGCCAAGGCTTATCTCAAAAGGTCACCGTAAATTTGTGCCTTTCCCTCGTAAGACGTAAGACTGGAGTCGCTTAGGCTTAGGTAATTCGTTCACCATTTTCGGTATCCATCGTAAGTTTCGCTATCCATCGTAAATTTTCGTTATCACATTTGAAATAGCAGACGATTTGAATCGAATAGCGTGAGTCAGAGGATTTTTTGTTTCAACAACATTTCTCACATTAGGGGTCCCTATTCTCGTCTGGTCCCCTGCCCGACGAATCCATGCGGATTAGCGCCCGTCTGTGCTGCTCCATATAAAAAGGTTTGGCACTGAAACAAATTCGAGTTACCATAAAGATTCTAATAGAAGATCATGGTCTTCAATTTTTTAAACCCCTTCCTAAAGGGTCTTTAAGTAACAATTAACAAACAACAACAAACAATTTCAAACGAGCATATCCGTTAAATCATCCTCGATTTCATTTGCATTAGCGTCACCGTTTTTAACGTTACTCGACTTTAACGTTACTCGACTTTAACGTTGCTCGACTTTAACGTTGCTCGACTTTAACGTTGCTCGACTTTAACGTTGCTCGACTTTAACGTCACTCGAATTTAACGTCACTCGAATTTAACGTCACTCGAATTTAACTTTAACGTCAACGTCATTAACGTCATCGCTTTCGTAATCCTTGTTTTCCTCGTCTTCGCCCAGATCAATTTCATTAGATTGATTTCATTAGATCATTTTTCTGCTGACTTGAAACATGCTTGCAGCATTCTTCAAGATCTTCTTGGGCAAATTTGATTGTTTCCAGCTTGAAATTGATCGAATAGGCCTTCCGTTTTCTTCTCTTCTTGAGCAATTTCGTGTCAAGAGTATCCAAATCATTCTCCGAATCTTGATTCATTTCGTTTCCATTCTCCTTTTTTTGTTCTTTGAAGAATTCAACACCGTCTCCGTCAGCTTCTCGAATAGCTCGATATCCTTCCAGAGAATTCGTGCGAATTGGCAGTCGCTCAGTCATCAGCCCTAAAAATAAAAATAATTTATTTTAAAAACAAGATACAAGGATTGAAAAAATTACTAGCAGTAAAGAAATAATAACTTTGCACAACGATTTTTGCAAGAAAATATGGTTAATAGCCTTCCGTTTTCTTCTCTTCTTGAGCAATCCCGTGTCAAGAGTATCCAAATAATTTTCCGAATCTTTCCCATCCTCCGCAATAGTTTCTTGTGAAATCCATTCGTGAATCATTTTTCTACTGACTTGAAACATGCTCGCAGCACTCTTCAAGACCTGCTTTACAAATTCGATTGTTTCCAGCTTGAAATTGATCGAATAGGCCTTCCGTTTTCTTCTCTTCTTGTGCAATTTCGTGTCAAGAGTATCCAAATCATTCTCCGAATCTTGATTCATTTCGTTTCCATTCTCCTTTTTTTGTTCTTTGAAGAATTCAACACCGTTTCCGTCAGCTTCTTGAATAGCTCGATATCCTTCCAGAGAATTCGTGCGAATTGGCAGTCGCTCAGTCATCAGCCCTAAAAATAAAAATAATTTATTTTAAAAACAAGATACAAGAATTGAAAAAAATACTAGTAGTAAAGAAATAATAACTTTGCACAATGATTTTTGCAAGAAAATATGGTTAATAGCGGGATACGGTTGCAAAATAGTGCATTTTAAGAGTTTAGGTTTTCTATTGAAGACTGAACTTCTATTTCTCAACCTCCCTTCAAAAGGTCTTCTATTAGAATTTTTACGGTAACTAATTTTCTGAGAAATCGACTATTCCCAAATATTGAAAATGAAAAGTCGAGTAGCGAGTAGTAAAAGGGCAAAATTTTCATTCAGTGGAAGCCGGCTGGTGGCAGCAAATACTATTGTGGCAACGTGAGCCTGGCCACCGACTGGCACTACGCTGAATGCGGCTCATCGGCTTATGGTTTGGCCAGTGTTTTCTGAGTAATTTCTTATATGTAGGCATCATCGACTGCTTCCCGTGTCCGCCTGGAGGTCTTTTTCGATCTACAATCAAATCAAATCAAATTATTTCTCAATCTAAATCAAATCTCAAATTTTGTGGCTCATTAATGCCATTTAAACTTGATCTCTTGATCTTCTCTGCTCGAGTTTCCCTGTTTAGGCGTGTGGTCGGCATGGTCGAACGTAGGCGCGTGTACGAAGACCTGCGGGCTTTGTGGTTCAGTTAAACAGATAAGAAATTGCACATCAGCTGAATACGAATGTCCTTGCACGTGAGCTTTCTAGAGTTATCGGCATAAACTCCTTTATTAAGCGGTCCAACCAATCGAACCACCACTTGTCCGAAGACTCCATGCGCGGGAAATAAATGCTGCTTTGATCATCCTCTGGTTTGATCTAGTTTTCCGAAATTCCGAACTAGCTGAAAAACCCAGCACTGCTGGCTTGAGCTTTAAAGAAATTAGCCTACAAAATTTCTTTTTACCCAGCTCACAAGGAAAGGCGTACTGACTGAGCCGGCCAACTGACTGAGCGCTCTACCGCTCGACCATGACCTACTAGAATCGAGGCCGCGCAGAAGACGCTTAAGGACCAAAAAACCCAAATTTCCAGAGTCCTAACAAAGTTTAAACGCTTATAACTCCTGCCAGAATAACGTTCAGCAAAAACGGAAACCAGATTCGGAATCAGCGTGAAATTTTGAGTCGAATGATACAGATTGCATGTCATTTGATAGGCTCAGTCAGTTGACATTCCCTTCTCAGTGTGCACAAAAGATTTGGTCGAAACGAAACACGACTTTTTTCGTTTACAGGTGAAAAATCTGGTCACCAACAAGACTCAATGTGGCCTTCAATTGGCGCCCGATCAAGTTCTCCACCCGCCCGGTTTCACCGATCCCGAGTGCATAGAGGCGGTTTGTGGTTTACGTGTACGGCTTTTAGAGGATTTTTGGCAATATTCTTTTGGCAAATTTGGCAATATTCTTTACAATCTTCGGTTTTTTTGTTTGTACAATTGGAAGACATGGAATGGCCTATCTTTAATCGAACCATATCAATTTGAATCCTGATTTCTATTCGATCAGAATGACTCGAAATCCTGGTACTACGCCGCATTGGAGCTCATTTTTTTGAAACGCTTCAGAGCGTGAAAAACATTTTGTCTCTTTTCCAGCAAGATTTGAGATATCTATGCGAGTGTTTTTCCTTGTTGATGAAGAGTAATAATGGCTGTACGCAGCCGCGAAACTCGGTTTAAAACGCTTTTTCCCAAGCTCTCGTTGTGTTTTTCGGAATCTACGCATAAAATTACCCCAGAAAAAGTGGTTTTAAAGAAAATTACCCCAGAAAAAGTGGTTTTAAAGAAAAAAATGACCCCCAACTGGCGTAGTACCAAAATTCTTCCAAATCCCACCACCAGATCAGGTCCGATCGTTTTCCATATCGATCTTTTCTTACTCCAAAGTGAATCCTCTCAAATAATACATCCATTTCCTTTCAGACAACACCTTTACCACCAACTACGACACGTCCTCGTGAGTTTTCTTTGCTGCTTTTCTCTAATTACCACTTAATAAACAACAAAGTTTGTGACTCTAAATAAAATAATAATAAAATAATAATAAAATAATAATAAAATAAAATATAAAATCGCTATCCTACAATGCCCGAAAAAACAATTTCAGCATGTGGCTCAGGATGCGCGCAGAATCTCTCATCCTACCGAGCTACTGGCGAAAATGGCACCTTGATTTTCACCTATACGTTGGTTGCTCTGTCAACCTTCATCCAGAATTGCTTTGACTCAAAAGAGTTACCTTATTGCCTTGACTCAAGAGGCTAACGTAACGGGACTCTATTCTATTACTTTATCAGAGCTTTTGTCTAGTTTGTTTCTCTATTCTATCTAGTTTGAAATCTCATAGACGAACCCGTTTTTTCAATGATTTTCAGTGAGTGAATAGATTTCAAAATTCAACGTAGATTCAGTTGCCAAATTCAGAACGGATGGAGCCGGTTGTCTCACAGCCACCTACTCATGTCGGCGAAATGATTTCCCGAATAAAAATGTGAGTAATGATCAAGAAACTCAGACTCATCCATATCCAGATGTTCTTCGGTGTCATGACTCAAGTGCGAACAGGGACTCGATTTTTTGCCTATATCAAATATGGGAATCCGGTGAGCATCTCTTCATTCGGAAGTGAAGTTAACTGGATTGATAGATTGATTGACAATAGATTGCTAAGTTAATAGAAAAGAATTTTAGTCATAAATCAGAAAAAGAACGAGATAAAACAATAAATCTGTCAAAACAGGATCCACAAAACAGGAACCAGGATTTTGGGACACCCTGTAGACTACTTTGAATGGAAGCTTTATCCAAGCATCCAAGCAGAGCAGATCTCAAAGTTGGGTACCTAATTAATATCATTAAGGACACAAAAGACATAATCACATGGAGAAAACAAGAGGAGAACAATTCGTAGCTATCACATAATACAGTCGACTCTCTCTTTCTCTAACGGAACTCTATATAGCGGAAAGCTCTATATGACGAAATGGAATTTTAGTCTCGACCGACGCTAAGCTATATAAAACGGCACTGTATATAACGAAAACATTTTTTCGTCCCTTCCATTCCCTTATAGAGAGAGTCGATTGTATTATACGAGGCAAATAGAATGCTTGGCTTATTCCATTTTGTAGCTTTCAGCAAAAAAGTAATCTAGAGTACAGCTACCAAACATTTTAGTGTTTTAGCTTTTCTTGCTCCAGTTCGTTCTCAAAGTTACCACAGGCAGTGGTCCGGTGAGGCTTAGCCTCCTTTTTATTGATTTGCTCACTTTTCGCCTGCTTTAACGATTGTAATAGTCATTAATTTAACAATTGTAATGGTCAGACTCTTTTGAAGGTCGATCTGACCAACCCATGCAAGAATTTGAGCATTCTAAACTGATCCCACATTACTCCAGGTGATCTCCGATTCAGCCCATTACTTCCTTTGTTCGCCGAGTGCTGAATGGGACTATGTGGGGGTGAGTCGAAAAATCTTCATTTCTAGTGCCTGTCATTGTCACCAAAAGAGAAAATCCAATTGAAATCTAATGTCGATAAAGTAATTTTTCAGTCAACCGGTGGGAATTTGATCACCGCCGTGCAAATCGTCTGCTACATCAACGCGACAACGAGCGGTTGATCTTTTGATGTGATTGCTTTTGACTTTTGATTTAATAATGTAATAAATGTTCTCTCTTAAAGCCTTTCGAGTAAAACTTGTTATTAGGTAGCGCAAATACTGTAATAGAACGGTACCCCATTCAAAAAAACGTAAAAGCGCAAATTTCGCGAAGATGATTAGAGAAACCCAGCGATGTATAGGAAATCGAATCTTTCTATCCAAATAATCCTTTTTCTGAAAACGAAGTTCATCCTGAATTATTGGGTTGGTGGGTATACTTTTGAAGTACCGCGCCCAAGTGTCCCCAGCGAATGTCCCTAGGGTAACCCCATAAAAGTGTTCCCATAGTGTCCCTCCCTGGGACGGTACCCTTAGAAAGTGTTTCTAAGGGTACCCTCCCCAGAAAGTGTTTCTAAGGGTACCCTCCCCAGAAAGTGTTTCTAAGGGTACCCTCCCCAGAAAGTGTTTCTAAGGGTACCCTTAGAAAGTGTCCCCATGTGTTTTTTTCACCCTAAATTTGATTATTTTTCTTTTTTTAAGCCAAGTTGCTCTGTTTTTTTGTTATTTATCAGCAACAACGCACTTTATGAGCATGCATTTATTGGGTTGGTGAATTGAAAACTGCGGGACTTTGAACTAAAATTTATTTAACATAAAACCATCAATTCATTCCAAATAATTTCCATTATTATTGACGACTTCTGGTCATTTTACAGGCAATTTGCGGATTCCTCTTTCCTTGTAGGATTTTGGTTTTGAATCGAAAAACTTTCAAAGCCAATTTTTGACTGCTTCTTCCAAACCGAAGTGTTCTCCCGCAAGCTCATTACTCATGATCCGGAATAAATAGTACTCAGGTCCGGGGAGAGGTCCGGACTGTATGCGGGATGTGCCGAAAGTTCCCAAACAAGGCTATTTATTTTAGAGCGGGTCAGTTTTGCAAGATGAGGGCGCGCGTTGTCGTGGATGAGAACGATCTTTGACTTGGAGGGCCTGTTCTTCTTCAGGGATTCATTCACCTTTTCATTCATTCATTCCCAACTGTCTACTGTATTTGATTGCATTAACGGTCGTCTTGCTATCCAGCAATTCCCAGTAAAAGTGTGTGAGACAAGTGTGAGACTCAAAAATAGAGGACTGGAGATGTCCTAGTTTGAGCACTTTCTTCAAAAGAAACCCATTTTGGTGTCAATAGAAAAGTTGTAGAGAATCAAAAATTAGGCTTATAGCGAAATTTCCAAAAAGATACACTTAGTAGTTTCGCTTAAAATGCAAGTTTTGTGAAAATTCGTAAATTTCGCATTTCTTGAAAACGAGTTTTTGAATCGTTCTGAAAATTTGGATATAAGCTTCATTTTTGATTCTCTACAACTTTTCCATTCACACCAAAATGGGTTTCTTTTGAAGAAAGTGCTCAAACTGTGACATAGGACAATAGCCGTTTTCAATAGCCGTAATAGCCGTAATAGTTTTCAATTCACCAACTCAATAATAACACAATCACGATTTAGAAATAAAAACAACGAAAATGAACAAAAATAAGCCGAAACAAAAGCATGAACAATTACAAACTAATGCATATTTTTATCCGGATTTTCTTCGTCGTTCTCATCAAAGACACATGGTTTCCCGATCGGATGGAAACATTCTAGGCGAGCCATATCGAAAACATTTTGCATGATGCCATATCGCCATATCGAAAACGCAATGATGCGCACTGATGCGGGTTAAGAAATGCGGCAACGCAATGATGCTCACTTCCGTAGAAGACACGCCGTTTGTTACAATCATTTCCACAGACATGCAACAAAACGAAATTTCTGGCGTAGATTCGAGGAATCTGTAGAAGAAACTGTAGAGGAATCTGTAGAGGAAACTGTAGAGAAAACTGTAGAGGAAACTGTAGAGGACACTGTAGAGGAAACTGTAGAGGAACCTGTAGAGGAAACTGTAGAGGAAACTGTAGAAGAAGCTGTAGAGGAAACTGTAGAGGAAACTGTAGAGGAAACTGTAGAGGAAGCTGTAGAGGAAACTGTAGAGGTTCGACTGTATTTAATAATAGATTATCCATTTAGGCTTTGTGCTCAAGAAAATGGAAAAAACATAGCTTTTCTGGTGCTCATACTTGCTGTTGAAGTGTACTTTGTGCTTGAAACATTTTTCTTGGTCCACTCTTCACTTTTCCATGATAAGAGAGACGAGGAAAGGTGTGTTTCCATTTTTTTGAGCACAAAAATAAGTGCTTGGGAAATAGGAAGGCTTCTGAGATACTTTTCTTGAAAAAATTCAATTCACAAGAAATCTTCGAGATTCATTGCATTAGAAAGAGTATTTTTGCAAGAGCACAAAGCTTTTAAGCACAAAGTACACTTTAAATAGTGCTAAAAATGAAATGCAGAGCTGAATGAAGTGAATTGAGTGTTGAATGACACGAGAATTTCTTAAGTTTTCTTAAGTTTTCTTAAATTATCAAAAATTTCTGAGTTTTTTTGAGAAAGTTTTTGAGCGTTTTAAAAACTACGCACAGCCACTAGCTACAGTGACATCCAGGATCGGCTATACGATAGACGAAATCTTGAATAGTTAAATAGATTTGCATATATTGAGCCAGTCCTGTACTTGAAACGGCTTTTTTCAGGTTTTTGAAAATTGTAAAAATTTTACACAGCCACTAGCTACAGTGACATCCAGGATCGGCTATACGATAGACGAAATCTTGAATAGTTAAACTAAATTTGCATATATTCATCCAGTCCTGTACTTGAAACGGCTTTTTTGAGGTTTTGGATAGGAATGACACGAGAATTTCTCAAGTTTTCGTAAGTTTTCTTAAGTTATCAAAAATCTTCGACTTTTTTTTAAAAAAACAATGCAACAGAAAGCTTTTTCGAGCTTTTAGCCAAAAATTCAAATGTCAAATCATATCTTTATCGTTCACAAATTCTCTAAAACAAATAAAAAATAGCTAAAACACATAAATGAAAAGAATTTTAGCGAAAAAATTTGACAAAAATCGATCAAGCAATCAGCAGTGAAGCGCCAAAAAAGAAAATGAGCAAAAAAAACGGTTTTTTTGCAGTTTCTTTCGCAATTTTTTTGTAGAATATCACAGATCTTCTCAAAATAACCAAATTAAAGCCGATTTTCATTGAAATTGTCTTTTTTGTTTTTGATTTAATAATAGACATTTTGTGGAGTAGCGAGCTCGTCTTTCAGATTGAATGAAGCAGTTCGATTCGTTTTTCTGAAAGAAAAAAAAATGGATTTAGAAGTTTTTGGGAAGAAATTTTTTCGCGACGACAGTATTTTAAGCGTACAGTCTCGTAGGCCAAACTTGGTTTAGATTATTTTGTCTTTTTGAGTCTAGTTTTTAGTGTACTTTACTCGTGTACTCTACTGTACTTTGCTGGTGTACTCTACTGTACTTTGCTGGTGTACTCTACTGTACTTTGCGCGTGTACTCTACTATGCTTTGCTCGTGTACTCTACTGTACTTTGCGCGTGTACTCTACTATGCTTTGCTCGTGTACTCTACTGTACTTTGCTGGTGTACTCTACTATGCTTTGCTCGTGTACTCTACTGTACTTTGCTCGTGTACTCTACTGTACTTTGCTGGTGTACTCTACTGTACTTTGCTCGTGTACTCTACTGTACTGTGCTTAAAAATCGCTGCTATGCTTTTGGCGCATTCAAATATCCATTTTTTCACACAAGTTACTAGAAAGTGATGTGCTAGAACGTGTGTGTTTACACTTTTAAGCATAAAGTACACGTCAAAGGCTTGCCTGATACTTGTCTGGGCTTACAATTGATGGAAACGAATCTCTGGCGCATTCAACCACCTGCATCAGTTAAACGATCAAGCGTTTGACTTGAATTATTGAATTGAGTGCGCCAGAAAGCATTTGTTTACACTTTTGCGACCACTAAGTACACATAAAGCTACTAACTAACCTTTTATAATGAATCGAACTGCATGTGAGAAGGATGAGGAAGAAAACCGCGGTCACGATCGAGCACAACAAGGCGAACGGCCACGAGTTTGCTGAAAGTGAGCTTTCTTGACAATTTTATAGTAAAAATACTACAATACCAACTCCTAAAATTCGTCCAATACTTGTCTAGCTATTTTTCCTAGCTTTTTAACAAAAGTTTTCAAGAGAAAGAGTGACAAAGTTCCCCGTGCGTCATTATTTTATGTTATGTTACAAAGTATTATGTTATGAGCCCTATTTCACTTTTTGCTTACCTGTTTTTATGGTTTTTGTGTATTTTTTGGTTTTTATGGTTTATTTGTATTTGGACTTATCAACAAGATGGTGCGCTGGCTCACAAGGCAATGAAAGTGCAAGAGTTTTGTTCAAAGACCTTCCCGGACTTCATCTCGTTTCCTGAGTGGCCACCCAGCGCACCCGATCTTAACCCATTGGATTACTCAGTCTGGAGTGTTCTTGAAGCCAGGGCATGTGCAAAACTATTAGGTTGATGCAAAAGTCTTTTTCATTTTTTTCGTACTTCTGTTAAAAAGTAACAAATTCACCAATTAATCTATAGTTTGCTCTATAAAAAAAGTGTTTTTTTGTTCAATTTGCATCTTTTTAAATGAATTTCGGTTCACTTTCAAGCAAATTCGAGAGTGAAAAACGCCTTTTTCGTAAAAATCTATAAAAAACTCTACGGAAAAATTGGCTGAATGAATTTCTCTGAAATTTTGGCGAAATATCAAACGTTTTTTTTTCTCTATCTTTTATCTATTGACACGAAGATAGGTTTTCTTTAGCTAAGGTGTCTAAACCGCATCATCGAGTTAGCCCTTTTTTGACTACCCGACTTCATACTCTCAAGAAAATCCAGGCATTTCTTTAGCTAAGGTGTCTAAACCGCATCATCGAGTTAGCCCTTTTTTGACTACCCGACTTGATACTCTCAAGAAAATCCAGGCATTAAATATTTTTAAACCCGTTTTAATGTTATTTTGCAGAAAAATAATTGGTTTTTCTAATGAAATCAACCGTAGTTTAATTGGTGCATTTGTTGGCTTGAAACGGCAGACGAAAGGAACGAAAAGACTTATGCATCAACCTAATACATAAAAATATCGAAAGTTTGAGTTTGAAGAAGGCGCTCATGAAAGCATGGGATACCCTCGATGATGCCTATTTGCTCGCCACGGTCAACGCGCTTACTGTTACTGTTACTGTTATATGTTGTCAACTGTTATATGTTGGTCAACGCGTTTCCCAAACGTTTGCAGGCCTGTCTGAATGCCGATGGAGGCAAATTTGAATTTAATTGTTAATTTTTTATTGTTATATGTTGAATAAAGATATTTAAGTTAACTTTTCGAGATGAGTTGCATATTTGGCTAAAAGCCAGGCCTTTTGTGTGTTGCGGTAATTCTTGGTCACCCTGTATACCCTTTAGCAGCTGAAAATCTCGATTATTCACTCTGACAAACCTGGATCAAAGAAATCGTACCACTCTTTCAGGAAAATTTCGCCCATTTTATCGATTGTTTAGAGAAAATTAGGGAAATATTGTAGTTTTTGAGAGCTAAAATTTAAATTAGAACTTCGTTAAGTAAAAGTGAATAAAATGTCGATCAATAACTCTTCAAGGACTTTTGAAAAGAAGCCAAAATAAAGCAAAAAAGCCAAAATAAGCCCAAAAAGCCAAAATAAGCCCAAAAAGCCAAAATAAGCCCAAAAAGCCAAAAATAAATCATGGGATATCAGAGGATTCACGAAAACACTCAAAATTAAGAAAGAAACATGAGAAAGTACATCAAAAAAAAGATGTGATAAAGTAAAAATTTCTCTTGAAAATTTTGCTTTCATCATTTTCTTTGGTTTTATTGCTTTTCCATTCACAAATAAACAAATTTTGTTTGGCTGAAAAAGCGGAAAAAAAGGAAAAACAAAAATCGTCTCCATTATCAGATCAAAATGTGTGAGAAAAGGGCAAAATGATGGGGAAATGATGATAAACATTTGGGCATTTTAAGGGAAAATTGAGAATTTTGAAAGGAAATTGAGAATTTTAAAGAAAAATTGAGAATTTTTAAAGGAAATTGAGAATTTTAAAGAAAAATTGAGAATTTTTAAAGGAAATTGAGAATTTTAAAGAAAAATGGAGAATTTTGAAAGAAAAATTGAGAATTTTGAAAGGAAATTGAGAATTTTAAAGAAAAATTGAGAATTTTAAAGAAAAATTGAGAATTTTGAAAGGAAATTGAGAATTTTAAAGAAAAATGGAGAATTTTGAAAGAAAAATTGAGAATTTTGAAAGGAAATTGAGAATTTTAAAGAAAAATTGAGAATTTTGAAAGGAAATTTCGAAATTTTACGGGAAATTTGGGGTTTTTACGGGAAATTACGGGATTTTAAAGAAAAATTGAGAATTTTAAAGGAAATTTCCGGATTTTAATCAATTTTAATTTTAATTTTAATAAAACTCTTTTAAAAGTCTTAAAATCGATTATAGTTTTGTCATTTAACATTTTAAAAAATTGAAAAGTGAAAATCCAGTGGCATTACGGGGACTCGAATCCGGACCGTGCGAGTCGTAGACAAGTAGTCGTCGCGGCTGCGTCGTGGACAAGCTCCTGACTCAGCCACGACCACTACTCGTCAGCCCCAAAACATTCAGCCAGAAAATTCCGCTGTTAGGTGGCTTTTTTCGGTGGGTACGAAACAAATCACAAAAGTTCTTAAAGGATGGGTGCAGATCGCGGCCGAGTCTTGAACAAAACTTTTTTTGACGTTAACCTTCTGTTTTTATTTCATAAAACATTACGTTTGATTTTCAAAACGACAAAAAACACCCTGCTAGGATGTTTTGACTTTGATTTTTAATTTTGGAATACTCCAAAGTTCGCCTGCAGACACGAGTCAGCCACTTGATAGCTTTTCAATCAGACTGATGACAAGAGAATTTATATTAGGGTGGTGCAAAAGAAACTGCCGATTTGACGGTAAATTCAAAAAAAAAATGGCGTTCGATGGTGACATGATCACAATGGAATATTTTCGCAAGATCTCGAGCAGATTGGTATGGATCGGCCTGAATAACGTCCCTCAGCTTGGCTTCGTTCACGATTTCTGGCCTCGAACCGTGCTCGTAATCTTCCAAAGTCTCGTCTCCCTCTCGGAATCGTTGAAATCAAGTCTGACACTGCCTGAGAGACAAAGTCCCATCTCCGAAAGCAGCACAGAGAGAACGATGCGATTCGGCAGCAGACTTGGTTCCTTTTTTCTGCAAATTTGGTTCCTTTTTTCTACAAATTTGGTCCCTTTTCTCTACAAATTTGGTCCTCTTTTCTCTTTTGGTTCCTTGCGAGACAACGATGCGATTCGGCAGCAGACTTTCCTTGAAGTTAAACAGTAATGCTGCTCGTAGCACAAACTTTTGCTCGACCATGATCTAAATAAAAAATATAAGCATTTTTAAATAAAATAAACAGCAACCAAAAAATTCCTACATCAAAAGAGCTGGCCAAGATCTTGCCAAGAACCCAGGCTGCTCAGGTCCAGGCAGAAGTCAGGACTAGAGCTGATTAGAGAGACTAGGCTCTAACTCTGGTTAGACCTAGATCCTGGCCTAATCCACCCAAATATATTAGGGTGGTACAAAGGAAACTGCCGATTTGACGGTAAATTAAAAAAAAAACTGGCGTTCGATGGTGGCATGATCACAATGGAATATTTTCGCAAGATTTCGAGCAGATTGGCATGGATCGGCCTGAATAACGTCCCTCAGCTTGGCTTCGTTCACGATTTCTGGCCTCGAACCGTGCCTCCAACCGTGCTCGTAATCTTCCAAAGTCTCGTCTCCCTCTCGAAATCGTTGAAACCAAGTCTGACACTGCCTGAGAGACAAAGTGCCATCTCCAAAAGCAGCACAGAGAGAACGATGCGATTCGGCAGCAGACTTGGTTCCTTTTTTCTACAAATTTGATCCTCTTTTCTCTTTTGGTTCCTTGCGAGACAACGATGCGATTCGGCAGCAGACTTTCCAATTTTGAAGTTAAACAGTAATGCTGCTCGTAGCAAAAACTATAAACAAACTTTTGCTGATCCAAACAATGATCTAAATAAAAATATAAGCATTTTTAAATAAAATAACATTTTAAAATAAAATAAACAAAAACCAAAAAATTCAAATGTCGAAATAAATAGCAAACAAATATGCGAACAAAACATAAAAAATAATGCCGTTAGCATCGCTCCTTTCTGATAAATGAGAGCTGATACCCATCGACAGTTTCTTTTGCACCACCCTATTAGATAACCAGCCGGAAAACCCGTCAGTGAAGGCTGGGATTCAGGCTAATGTTTTATCTGCCATTCTTGCCACTGAACTCGGCACGTGTTCCTATTTGCGACCACATTTTGCACTTAATCATAAGAATTTGAATATCTCTTTACTTTTCTCTTTTGCGCAATAGACAATAGACGCAACGCAATAGGAGACACGTCGCTTTCTAAAGCAATTCGAAACTGTAAACAATTGTAATTGTGATCATGAAAACGAGTGCTCAGAATTCGAAATTTAAGGCCAAAAGCCAGATCTAAAATTAGGCTAAATATTAAGAAAGCACCTAAAACTTAAAAAGCACCTAAAAAACTAAAAATTTACCTAACAAATAACAAAAATGATCATCAAATAACAAAAATGATCATCAAATAACAAAAATGATCTTTCAAATAACAAAAATGATCTTTCAATATTTCTCTAGCCATTCTAAAACTAGTCTAAATGAAATTTTTGCAATAAAATAGCAAAAGAAAAGTATAAGAAGACATTTTTTTTTGCAAGTCTATTGGTAAATGAACGGAAAAGTGTCTATAAAATGGGGGAAACACGAAACTGAAATATTCGGAGAGGAAAAGTGCAAATGGCAAGCATTTTTTCCCGATGAATGATTGTTATTTGATGAAGGGAAGAAAAAGAAAATGATTGGGTACTTAAAAGGTCAGTGGTTATTGTTATCAACTATATATAAAGCACGTCTGTCCGTCCGTCTGTGCGCAGCCATTGGCAAAAAGGGGCTTAGATTGCGTGGAAAACGTGGACCTCTTCAGTGGAAAATGCGAATTTTAGTGAGCGTTTTTTGCTGGTTGGAATAGAATTGAATAGAGTTTGAAAGGAATGGGAAAAGGAAACAAAGAAATAGGCAAAATTGTTGGCTAAGTGATAGCTGGTTTCTTAAAAATTCTATTAGACTTTTCAGACTTTCAAACTTTCAAACTCAGGAATTTTCAAGAGCCTAGGCATAGCGATAAAATGGTCGATTTAGCAGTTAAATAAAAGAAAGTTAAGCTATTTATAGAAGCTATAGAAGCTCATAGGGCATATTATCATATTCCAAACAGATCAAAACAGAATGATCATATTTAAGCCAGCTAGCCTGGAGCAAAGAGTCAAGAGCTGATTTCTGGGTTGGTCTGAAAGGCTGAGAGTCTGAGAGTCTGAAAGGCTGAAAGGCTGAGAGTCTGAAAGTCTGAAAGTCTGAAAGTCTGAGAGTCTGAAAATCTGAAAGTCTGAAAGGCTGAGAGTCTGAAAGGCTGAGAGTCTGAAAAATTGCTTTAAGATTTCAAGATTGGAAAAATTTAAGTAACAACTTTCTTGTCAATCGAAAAATCGGTTCTTTTCCGTTATAGATTTGCGGAATTTGCATTTTGCCATCCTTTCATGAAAATTGAACAAGGAAAACGACAGAAAATTCGTTCCTTTGCTATTTCCTGACCAGAATTTACTCTCATTGTTGGCGAGGATACAACACTCAACAGATGGAGGAAGCCGGCTTTACCCACGCTCAAGTCAACCATTCACACGCAGATGATCAAGTACAACTTTCTGAATCCGGATGAGTCTGCCATTCACACGCTAGATGATCGATCTATGGAGAAATGGAGAAACACGAAGCACCGCGGCACAGCACGGCTTTATTTTTTCCGTTTTTCCTAAGAAAAAACCGCAGAAGCTGATCAACTTTGACGCCGTTTTTCTCTATGTTCTTACAGGTGATTATCCTAAACAAACTGCACTTTTCTCTAGCTAAATTTTATGAGGATTCTAATGAGACCAACCGTAAGTCAATCCGATCCTTGTGCATCGAGATATAGAGTAAAATAGAAAAGTGCACTAAAGTGCCATTTTGACTGTATAAAAACGGCACTTTAGCGCACTACTTTTCAAAGCCGTTTTTCTCTATGTTCTTACAGGTGATTATCCTAAACAAATTGCACTTTTCTCTAGCTAAATTTTATGAGGATTCTAATGAAATCAACCGTAAGTCGATCCGTTTGATGGAAGTCGAGATATAAGCAGTTAAAGTTGATCAGCTTCTGTAGGTTTTTCCCTAAGAACCTCTCGAGCTACCTAACTGAATTCATGGTCGAACAAGTAGTGGTAAAGGACAATTTCTACGAAAGGGTTTTGCAAGAAATTGCTATTGCAATTCCTCATCCATCTTATTTTAATGTTTTTTTTTTTGATTTTG